CTATAAGACCAAAACTGAGAACTGACATTAAGAAATAAAATAATGTATGATGGGAGGAGTGAAGGGTCTACTCAAGGCTCCGTATAAAGTCGTACCTGCGTATTGTCCCACAAATACTCCTGTGAGAAGGGAAGTTGAGCCGGATTGTAACTGGTTAGTATCGGACCACTGGGAATATCAGGTGTTGAAGTGGTTCAAATTGTTCTTCGGGTTGAGCAGACATCCCTTATGTCGGCCTATTCCAGGGTGAAAAGTGCAGGAATAGTGAGATCAAATGTATTTAGAAAACCATCAAGAATAATTATCAACCATAACTGCTAAATCTTAAATACTTGAGAGTTTGTTGAGGTTGATAATGAATACATTTGAGAGGACCAGAAGCAATCAAAGCTAATCTTGTTGGAAACACGGACACTGCTTCCAATAACCTCAACAACTCACCTGTAAAACTGTTTAGACAGATGCAGAGAGAGATGGAGGTAGAAAAATGAACGCAGGTCAGAGTATGTTCAGGTTTACTTTGACTGAACTGAGTTTTCGGTCGCTGAAAATAGTTCTGGTCCAGTTCAGTGTAAATCATGGATAATAGGTCGACATATACAGCCTATACTTGTATGAAACAGTTCTCAAAATCTATGTTGAATACAAATTAATATAGTGTACGTCGGCTTTCCAACATGGGAAAGACTCATTTACAGTCTATGGGAAGAAGTGGTTCATCTTCGTGGAGCAATTGTATAACATGTTTTTATTAGAAGGACCACTTTATAAAGGAAACAGCAGTTCAAAAGCACTTTTATGGTACAAGCGTCACTCTTGATACATTGTCATTATGCAAAGTTTTTTGTATTTATTCTCTGACCGTTCCTGCCCTGACCGCTTTCACTATCTTGTTTTTGTCTTTTTCTGGAGTTCTCCCACAGCCGTACCCAGCTCTGTATTGGGCAGAGCTGTCAGAGTTTGTATCCAATGAAAAGTATCCAGCGTGCTGCCCGGACATCACACGTCTATCCAACTTGTGAAATGTGTGTAACTGCTCTTAGCTTTCTACTATTTGTTGCATGGAGCCGTACAAATGGCGCCTTGGCAAGAGCTCTGGTGTGTACGATCTTCTCTGTCTGCTGCACACTGGGGCAGTCTTCCAATGTGGTTTTACTGCAAATGGCAAATACATTCTTGTTGTATCTTGTATTGTTCCTCGTGTGTAGTTGTATTACCTAGTTCACACAGAACACACCATGAGCGACACGCTCAGTGTGTAAGAGGCTCAGTGAGAATGAACCTCAAAATGTTCCTTGACTCCTATTGGCTGAGCCCTGCCCTCTGCCTCTGCCTGATCTGTGCAGCTGCTTTAACAGCTTCACAATGATATCCAGCTTTAAGCAACACATGAACCAACACGTACTCCGTTAGAATATCAGCAGATTTAGTTCCTCAGAAATGACCCCACAATAAGCCACAGGCCTCAGAAGAGCTCTATAAAGAAATTAACATCCTTTTTGTCCCCTCTCCACGAGTATCGCACTAATTAACTGTCTGTGTGTTCGCGGGAGGCCTCCAACACAACAACAGGACAATTGTATTCTGACCCTTCTGCTGACTCGTAGTTTACAGAGAAGAAAGCTCTTAAAAAAAGAGAGCAGACTTTTGTGCCAAAATACAAGGTCAAAGCCTGACGTGTTAATTAATGCCTTACTGCAGCGGAGGCCAATGGACTTTTCTCACTGTCACTAATACAGTCGTAGAATTATAGGAGTTCTTGAGTCAAAACCCGGAATTTAATGAATTAAACATAATATGAATTATTCCTGAATAATGTATAGTAATGTATTCATGAGACAATCAAGTTTATCTATCTAATATTGTCTAATATTGGTGTATATTGAGCTTGCAACTCTGCAAATCTGCTCTGAATAACCGGGCCTCCTTCTGCCAGAGTTTTTAGCAAAATAGTATAAAATCTATCCATATCTGTTACAAAAAGTACAACATATTTACCACATTGATTTGCAGATGGCCTATCATCTCCAGAAATACTTTAAAGGCACACCGCGGACTTTGTGACCTAAAGAGTTGACACATATGAGTTATTTTATATGAATACTTGGGCCAATATACAGCGCTTGACACTTGCAATGCTCCGAGCGGGGCTGCCCTCTTGAAATACCGCCCATGTAAGTTTAGAGCAGACGCACCGTCGTTTACCAGGTCACGTGACTTGGAAGAAAGATTTGCTTTACGGCTACAGGCGCTGATATACTCATGGAGCTAAGGCTTTTGCTACTCATTTTTCACCTGCTCGACTCCTGGTCATGGCTGAGGCAAGGAAAAAGTTTAAACCTTCGGAGGAGGCTAAAAAGAGGAAACGGCGAAAGGGATCGTGCTCGAGGAAAAACAAGGGTCGATCTGGGAAAGGAGTTTGCTCGTTGGCGCAGGTTGAAAGAAGAAGCTGGATGTAAATCTGATTCTGTTTTTTCAACTTCGTTATTAGACTGGTAAGTGAAGTCTTTGCTCCTAGTATACAGTAAAATGTCTTTGTCATTATTTTCGCTGTTTAGTAGAAGCAAAATACGGGCAGACGAAGCTAACAGGCTACAAACCAAAGAACTTGGTTTTAGGTATAAAACAGCTCTACGACTTACCTGATCAGACATGGTTTTCTGTTCACTTTTGTGCAATTTCTTTATTCAGCGGATGTCTTCTTTTCTTCAATCGTGAGTCAATGAGCCCTCTTCAACCAACAGGTCCACTACTGTCTGAATACACACTCAAAAGACACCGGCTGACTGTTTGTTGACTTTTGCGACAGTGCTGAGTTGCTTGTGGCCACTAGGGGCGCTAAACGTGAAAGTTGCAGGTCTAGCGCCCCTAGTGGCCAAGAGTTACACGGTGTGCCTTTAATGATACATCAAAGTTAAAGTTTTTCTGTTTTGAGTTTCACAATTTAAAGCTGGGGTACCTACATTTTTGGTTGTTTCATAAATACATTTTGTTTGTCATAAAAGTAAGATTCTTGTTGCAAGTTGCATTTTGTGAGGAAATCAGACCACAAAATGCTGTCATTATCTTATTAGCCAACCTTTGATTATACATTTGACACTTTTACATCACGAGAGCTGATTGGCTGAGTGAGGGCGGGTACTCTCATTTCCACTTAACGAGCGGATCTGCAGATGTGACAGGGGCCAAAAACACTAACTAGTGATAGATAGAACCAAACAGCAAGGAACTAATAACATCGATGTATTACATATAGTTGTTGTTGTTTCAAAGGGAGCTTTAAAGGTACTCTGTGTAATTTTTACAGTTGCTCCAATTGAATAAACATGTTAACCAATAACAAATGTGACCTTTTTAAGAACGTTTACCTCCGCCATGTTTTTGAATTCTTGTCAAAGGCTTAAAATTTGACTTATGTGAGTTGGAGGACTCTACAGTACATGTCAATGCACCATCTTGAAATACAGTGGTTGATATAGGACAAAAAGGAGTTTGACCGGGGGAATTGGGGACCACTTTCAAAGACGATATATTGTCCTGCAAAGTTACCGTAGTACAGTAGATTACAATATATGATCTCAAAGCTAGATGGGAGTAAAAACTACACAGTGTACCTTTTAAGACACCAAAACATACCAATCAATGTATCTTTCAGTGAAGCATTTACACCGTGCACAAAAGGTCATTCTCTTCATGTGATTATCTGGCACCCGCTGCCCCCAGTTATTGCGACTTTAATTGTCATTGAAGCTTAATAGAACATTTACCCATATAAAACAAGACCGATTGGGAAACTGTCGTGGTTACCAAATTAAAACAAGCGGTGCCCAGAGATTAAAGCCATACAGTCTCGCCTCGGCCCTGATTAAAAATGCTAATACGTCCGCTCGGCTTTGATGTCGGGCGGAACAATGACATCACGGGGGGTGTCTGTGCTGAGGGGGGCGGGGCTTAACTGTGAGACGATGTAATCCTTTTCTGTGGCCACGGAGAGGGCATCCAGCTGAGCGCAGTGACAGTCCAAATCAATCATGTCGCAGGGAGCCGCCATGAGTCCGCCTGCAAATTCTCCCCCCACTCGCCAACTTCCAAGGCTGCGCAACTCTAATTAGGTTCCCCCTCTCGGCGTGCATCAGAGGAGGGCTGCCGGCGAAGATGTGAGGAGAAAGTTAGCGAGCGGAGGCATCAAGTGCAGACAATGGAAATTCACAGGAAACAATTACTTCAGACAGCCAAACAAGTTATCACATCATGGGGAGAGAGAGCTTTAAATGGCTTTTGAGCACATACTGTATCTGAACAAGGTTTTAATTGTCGCTGGTGAAAAACTATAATACTTACTCCATAAACTTACGATATTTATGGGAAGTTGATTGAGTCGAGTTGCAACAATTAGCTTGCAATTTAAGTCTGTAACTTCAGGTGTGTTTCATTATATTCGTATGACCATGTGGTATCATCCATTTAGTCCAAGTATTTTTCATAATAGATCTTTGTATAAACTGTTAAAAGTTGCAGAGTGCTAAAACATTCTGTATAAACTGTTAAAAGTTGAATAGGAATGTGTTTTGTATGTGTTTTGGTGACGACAGCATTATTCACCAAACAACATACATAAAACATTCATATTAACTTTTAAACAGTTTTATTTTTACAGAATGTTTTAGCACTCTGCAACTTTAACAGTTTATACAAAGATCTATTATGAAAAATACTTGGACTAAATGGATGTACCACATGGTCATACGAATATAATGAAACACACCTGAAGTTACAGACTTAAATTGCAAGCTAATTGTTGCAACTCGACTCAATCAAACTCCCATAAATATCGTAAGTTTATGGAGTAAGTATTATAGTTTTTCACAGCGACAATTAAAACCTTGTTCAGATACAGTATGTGCTCCAAAAGCATTTAAAGCTCTCTTCCCCATGATGTGATAACTTGTTTGGCTGTCTGAAGTAATTGTTTCCTGTGGAATTTCCATTGTCTGCACTTGATGCCTCCGCTCGCTAACTTTCTCCTCACATCTTCGCACGGCAGCCCTCCTCTGATGCCACGCGAGAGGGGGAACCTAATTAGAGTTGCGCAGCCTTGGAAGTTGGCGAGTGGGGGGAGAATTTGCAGGCGGACTCATGGCGGGCTCCACTGCGACATGATTGATTTGGACTGTCACTGCGCTCAGCTGGATGCCCTCTCCGTGGCCACAGAAAAGGATTACATCGTCTCACAGTTAAGCACCGACCCCCTCAGCAAGACCACCCACGTGATGTCATTGTTCCGCCCGACATCAAAGCCGAGCGGAACCAATGACATCACGGGGGGTGTCTGTGCTGAGGGGGGCGGGGCTTAACTTGTGAGACGATGTAATCCTTTTCTGTGGCCACGGAGAGGGCATCCAGCTGAGCGCAGTGACAGTCCAAATCAATCATGTCGCAGGGAGCCGCCATGAGTCCGCCTGCAAATTCTCCCCCCACTCGCCAACTTCCAAGGCTGCGCAACTCTAATTAGGTTCCCCCTCTCGGCGTGCATCAGAGGAGGGCTGCCGGCGAAGATGTGAGGAGAAAGTTAGCGAGCGGAGGCATCAAGTGCAGACAATGGAAATTCACAGGAAACAATTACTTCAGACAGCCAAACAAGTTATCACATCATGGGGAGAGAGAGCTTTAAATGGCTTTTGAGCACATACTGTATCTGAACAAGGTTTTAATTGTCGCTGGTGAAAAACTATAATACTTACTCCATAAACTTACGATGTTTATGGGAAGTTGATTGAGTTGAGTTGCAACAATTAGCTTGCAATTTAAAGGCTATGTCTGTAACTTCAGGTGTGTTTCATTATATTCGTATGACCATGTGGTATCATCCATTTAGTCCAAGTATTTTTCATAATAGATCTTTGTATAAACTGTTAAAAGTTGAATATGAATGTGTTATGTATGTGTTTGGTGACGACAGCAGCAGTCACCAAAGTATCGTATGTGTTTTCAAAAGTTGGTGTCCCAGATTTTAGAAATGTTGCGCTCTCTTTGTATATTCTCAAAGCTAAACTTGGATCAACCTCCTTTTGAAAAAAAGATCTACTGATGTGAAATAAAAAATGAATGTATATACCCCGTAATGATCAGGTTTGAGAGTTATATGATATGTTATGATAATAAAGCACTTTTTGGGCCCCCCAAGACATGATGTTTTTCATTCTCTCCATATATAGTGGTGATGAAGTACTTCTGTTGCTTCATCTGCCTTGGGGCACACGGACAGAAGCGAGGCAAACAGTAATTGTCATCGGCCCCTCTGACCACCACCAACCATTCACACACACACCAGACTCATTCTAGGCAATGGGGGTCTTGCCAAAGGACATGATGAAAGTTTGGCACTTTACAGCCGCCCCACTGTGGCACCTGGTGTTCCCAGTGGGAGAGGTATACATGTTGTTAGAACCCGTGTTGGCAGAAAGGAACATTCTAAACCACTGTCGCTCCCAATCCCCTACGGCAAGTCCATCATCCATAGAGCATTATCAACATTTTCACTTTATAAAAGAAAGAGCAGCGTGTTCAAACACCCAAACTTTGATGTTAATAAAATCACTCTTGCTGCACGGTTTGTTACACTGGGATTTCACAAAGTACTGCCCTTAGTGTGACTTGTGTCTAGTTTTAAAACCTTTAACTGACCCACATGCAAGCAGGGGCTATAAAGCAGTTCGAACTCATTGCTGTTCTGAATTACCACTGCATTTGGTGAAATAGTTCACATTGAATTCACAGGTTAAATGTGGTGTTATTTTGACATGCCAGCCTACTTGTTGCTCAATGTGTAAGGAAAGGGTAACCTGTGCACAGAGGGAATGAGGCTTTAATTCTATGATCATGTGCACAAGGATCCATTTCAAATATATATCTGAAAAATTGGCAAAAGATGCAGAGGTCTGGGATTGTGTCTAAGCAGATATGTTATTACTGGTTCACAGCATAAACAACAATTGTTCACATGGTTTAATACAAAGTCAAAATAATCTCCCCTCAGCATTTGCCACGGCGCCAGGAGATGAGTTTGGTGAGTGGTGGTTTTGTTTGGCGTTGTGGTGCAGTGGGTTGCGCTTGTGCTTTAAAGCATGAAAGTCATGGGTTCGGGTCTACCTCCCTTTCTGTATTGAGTTTGCATTTACTCCCCATGACTGCTGCAGTTTCCTCCGGTTTCCCCTGATCCCTAAAAAATGTACAATAAGTCTGGCATGTGTCTCCTGTATGAAGACCCCCCTCCCATGTGTGGAGTGCAAGGCAAATGTCAGACATCCAAAAGATCAAGTGGAAAAGTACTGACCTCTGTTGTATCTGTTGTAATAACCAGCTCAGTCCTTAACATACTGGTAAAAAGTCTCATGTAAGATCTATATGATTAGAATATGTATAAGGTTAAGTTATTGCATGTAAAAGGCCTGCGTCCTTCAGCGAGAAACTTACACCTTGCTTGTATAGTAATTGAAAGTCTGTCGCATGTTCTGACAGAGTGTAGCTTCAAACAAGAGAAATGGTTTATTTTCAGGAACCAACTCCCTTCCCCACCTTTCACAACTTTCATCTTGCAGCTCCATACAGGATTACTTCAATCCACTGGAATACCCCTTCAGATCTTCGTCACTTTTGATCCGTGCCACAATGACAAGCTTTGGCTCCAATCATCAATATAGTTTCCCCCACTACACACCTACCTTCAACTACAGATACAGTCCATCTCAGTGCAACACACACACACGCACACACTCTCTCTTTTCCTGGTATCGATATACAGCGTTTGAGAGATTTGACCAAAATTTCCTGGCATGTTTACAATGTTTACTCTGCTTTTATCCACGCACGATCAGGATGTGACACCGGCGCTGCTCGTCTCGGCGGCTTGAAAACATCACGCTTGTCACACTACTCCGGAGAGAGAAAGAGAGAGAGAGAGGGAGGCAGCGAAGGAGAGAAAGAGGAGGGTGCACAGATATGAAAAGTACGGCCCTTTTATCAGTCTCTGAGTTGGAAGTCTTTGAGGGCCTCCTTCAGAAGCTCAGCATTTCTTCCATTGTTCTATTTCCATCTCTCGCTTCACTCCTGTCACATGTAAAATCACAAAAGGCCCTCTCTCATAACCCCCTCCTCCGTTTTCCCCCACATTTCCCCCATGTTCTAACGTCACAGAGGCGCATAACCCACTTAGATGCTTCTCGAAATACTTCTCAACTTTACAGTGTTCCCCACAGCTTTGGTAAGGATTCAGACATGGAGCCTGAGGTTATGAACTCTGGACAAACTAGGGATCATGATTTACTATATCTGAAAGTATTTTTGTCTTTATAATACACAAGGCTGTCCAAAGTAATGATTTTTGTCTTCATAAAATCACTACAAGGAAACTGGGTTAGAACTGCTTTTGGTGGAAGGAAGCTGATCTATGTGAATTTCCTGGTAAAGTGTCTGTCTCTTGCTTGTCTCATAAATATGATTTTAAGCTATATAGGAGGATTTTCTACTTCTGGGTGGATCATCAAGACTATTGGTCCTCCCACTTGTCAATCATTCTGTGGATGAGACCAGAGAGTTTTGTTCAAAAAGTGGAGGGCGGTTCTTTCCTAAAATTCAGCAAAATCCTCCTATACACCGTTAAGTATTGTCAAAAAATGACATAGATTTGTTTGAGAATCTATGTCATATCTATGCATCTGGGCCTTTTTTTCAGTTCCCAGTTGTTTCATAGTTCTTTCAGAGTTTATTTTTTTTAGATGGAATGACAGTATGCGTCACAGTAAAGACGCCAACCCACAGATGTTAGCTAGTCCAAACAACCTTAAAACCCTGATCGCTTGAATATTATGTCTTGCAGCATGATTATACTGTAAATGTTTATATCTCTATTATTATAAATCACAGGGAAAAAAACAATCTGCTTCGTATTTAGTCACGGATTGTATTAACACTAAGATACTTTTAAAAATGTAGTACAATCCAAAACAACTACTCTAAAAAAGGAAACATAAGTAGAAATCAGCAATATCTGAGCACTGCAAAAGAGAAAAGTATATGATGGACTGGCACAATGAAAATAAGTAGCAACGAAGAAATGTAAATATAAAAGATGGATACGAGAGGCGATTGAAATCAGGAAGTGGGGCAGACAGATCCTCAACAGAGACGAGGGGGCTCTCACCTTGGCTCACACTTGGGACTCACTTCTCCAGGGACCACTGCGAGGCTGGGGACGCGCCACCTCTGACGAAAGGAGAAGTCTACAACGGAAACATGTGGAAAATCAAGCATATGGGTTAGGCTTTTTCACACTTTTGCCTTAATCAAAGAACTTTCTAAGCATATTGTAGCTGTCTTATAGAGCGACATAATTTTGTACAATGCTTCCATTCAAATGTATTCATACCTCTGTCATAAACATTTAATTACCCAAATGATTTGCTTATGAAGCCATGTAACTGTGGGAGGATCTGTTGCCAAATTCAACAGTTTTGTAAAGTCCTCCGAGATAAAACTGTTGCGATTTAGGGCTATACAAATGGACAATTTGAGGTTGCAACGATGCAGGCTTTCTTGCCTCACCGTACATAGTGTGAAGTGTGTTTCACGGCTAATCTGTATTTTTGTTTTTGGAAATGACTTGTATGTGTACTATTTCTCATTGTATGTTTTATTGTAAAGAGCTTTGTGATCCTGGTCTGCAAAAGGCGCTATATGAATAAACTTTACTTACTTTTTATTCAAAAATAAATTGAAATGAATTGTTTTGAATTAACTCTGGAATTCATCCTGGAATTCATCCCCAAATAAACGAGTCAACTTTGCAAACGTTTCCGCTGTCTTATCTGTGTAATTCTACAAGTCTTCACCATAACATCTTAAATCATTTCATTTTTGGAAGATATTTAAAACAAATGCACAAATTGTCACAAAAAACATAGACTTAAAATTCAAGTGTTTACAAGAACTTATTGGATGTATGGATATAAAAACATGCTATGCCGTCTTTGAAACAGTGCAAAGTGAAGCCAGAGGGGCCGAGGTGTCAGTCAGGCACCAGCTGCTCTGCCCTGAGCCCTTCTTCTCATGTGACACAGTAAACACACATTCACACAGCGCCGTCGCTACTGTTTGTGGCTGATACACATATTATACAAACATCTGTCAATGTCAAGAAACAAATGGTACTTCTCTGTGAAACTTTGGATGCTTCCCGGTTGTTAATTTTTATGTCTCAAAGTAGGTGATGTTGCCCTAGATAAGTTTTAATGTTTTTTGTAGTTTCAGACCGTACAAATGTAATCAATTATGTCAATTCTTGGGTAGTGGCGCGAAT